GAGGCACGAAGGGGGGGTAGAGCCGCCACCAGTTCGCTTGGAAACCGTTGCCACAGCAACGGGGTTGCGCTCCCCAGCAACGCGACTGCGGGGTGGCGACGCCCCCTCCCCCACCGCGGCCGGGGGCGCGGGCGGGGGGGCGACGACAAAGGGGGTGCACTGTAGAGAGCATCGCTCCTCTGGCCAGTCTGGGTGTGCCTGCCTGATCACGTCGAGGGTGGGGGTGAGGGCGAGGGCCAGCAGCTCCGTGGGCACGAGCCGACTCCCACGTGGCTGCAGTCGTCGCAACAGGACTCCCAGGGTGGCTGCAAACGTGGAGGCGTCCCAGACCCTGGGCCTGCCTCGGGAGGAGGAGGCCTGGAGGTTGGGTCTGGGGTCTCTGCCGGCTGACTACCATCGCTAGTACCAACACTAGGGTGTTCTCTAGCTCACTTGCGACATGGCCTGGTCCAAGATCGCATTCTTCGGTGATGATTTTTCCTTACTAGGGAAGAGAAAATAAGCTAGTCAGCCTCTCCCCTCATGGCCAGGGCATGTGTCAAATCATGGGCCCGCGATGGGCCTCCACTTGGTGGTGTCCTGGCCACCATTCTCCAGGGAGGGTTAGAAGCGGAGCAAAGGACATTGCTGACCCGGGGAAGCTGAGTCCCAGGCCAGATGGGAGCGACCCAGCTCATTGTCTGAACCACAGTGCCTCATTCTTGTCTGTGCACAATGCCTTGACTGTGCGGGGTGGCATGGAGGCTGGCCTGCAAAGAGGCCAGTGCCACATGGAGGTGCCCTGCCCAAGGGAGCCCCTCGAATGGCTGCTGAGTCAGAGGAAATGACCTCTGGCTCCCCTCCCAACCTCCCTTCAGCAGGCAGTGTGCTAGAGAGAGAAATGCCCCCCCTTCCAGTAGGGCCTGACTCAGCAGATGCCAGCCCTGACCACAGGCTTCAGATACAGCACCCTTGAGACCACAGCCACCCTAGGGTTTTTTGTTTTGTTTTATTTTTCTATCCAATGAAGTATTTGGTGCCCAGGATCTGGGGCATTTGAGGCCTTGGCATGTGATGCCCCTAAATGGGTGCTACCTGGGAAGTCAGGCTTGAGTCCCCCGAAGGCAGGGACCAGGGGAATCAGTGACAGGTTCCTTTTGTTTCTTTTTGCCTGCTCTGTATGCATCTGAGTGCTCTACATTCATAGTCTCCTGATCCTTAGAGCACTTGTGCAAGGTAAGTTTGTTATCCCTGTTTTAGAGATGGGTTCAGGAGGTGAAGAGACTTGACCAAGGTCAAAGGACCAGTCAGCAGGAGAGCCGGGTCTATTGCAGGTTCCTTTGCTGACACAGCCCCTCTTAGCCATGTGATCCAGGCAGGAACGGCTCCTAGAGCTCGCCAGAGGACCATTCTTAGCCTTCTTTCATGTTCCTCCAGAGAAGAAGTTCCCGTTTCAAGCCTTGGTGCACCTTTCCTTGTTCCCACTGAATCAGCCGGCTTCTTTCCCCCTCACATTCAGTGTAGGGCGTGCTATTGATAGACAGGCTGCCTTCCCTCTCCTTCCTCCATCTTCTCTCTAGCTGAGCCCAAGCTCAGTCGGGCTCCTTAGCCTCTTGGGAAGACCCCAGCACCCAGTCTCTAAGTGTGTAAAGCTCTCTGGCTTTCACAGCTTGTAAATACAGGCCTCACAGTGCTGGGGCCCTGTGATTAACCAGTCCAGCTCAGAGGCTGGAAACCCATGGGTCACAGGGGGCAGTGAGATGAGTGGGGCAGCCTCACCATTCATCTGTTCATGTCATCATACAATATGTGGACTTCGTGTGTTTAGATCATCCAGTTTTGGAGATGAAGCATAAAAAGTGGCCTTTATGCAAATCTTGGGAAAAAATGAATATTTAAAAAAACTGTTAGAGCACTGGCCAACAAAGCACATCCATGAGCTGTGTTAAAGTTGAAGGTCTTAACTCTTTAGGCTGCTTGCAATCCATGGTGGAGTGGGGGTGATCTCCGCTGGACCACCTCCACGGTGCTGGGTGCTGGCCCTCAGCTGGCCACATGCAGGTGTGTAGGTGTGTGCACTGGGCGTAAAGTGCTCCTCATCTGTTGTGCCCTGCCTTCCACACTAGTTAGGCATTAGGCATTATTGGACAAGTCTTTTTTTTTTTTTTAAGATTTATTCACTTTATGTGTGAGTTTTGCCTACATGTATTTCTGTACACCATGTGTGTTCTTGGTGCCTGTGGAAGTCAGAAGAGGGTGTCAGTATCTCCTGGGACTGGAGTTTTGGACCACTGTGAACCACTATGTGGGTGCTGGAAACTTAACCCAGGTCCTCTGCAAGCACTCATAACTGCTGAGCCATCTCTTTAGCCCCTAAGGCAGATTTTATCATCCCATCCTCTAGGCAAAGAAACCAGGTTAAGTGTGGGACTAGGATGGAATCACACGGTTCAGTTTGGGCAGCAGGATTTGAATTCATGCCTCCCTCAGTGCTTGACATGTTACAACAGGCTGCTCCTTATGAGACATGAGCACTAGCTCTCCCTGTCACGTGGCTTCCTCCCTTGCAAGAACGAATTATCATGTCCATGCTGAATGGAGGATGGGAACGCAGGGAACCACAGGAATAAGAGTCTTTTATATGAGCATGGGCTTTTTGGTTTGTTTTGGTTTTTTAAGACAGGGTTTCTCTGTGTAGCTGTCATGGAACTCACTCTGTAGACTAGGCTTGTCCTTGAATTTAGAGATCCTCCTGCCTCTGCCTTCCGAGTGCTGGGATTAAAGGCAAATGCCACCGCTGCCAGGCTGAGTGTGGGTTTTCAATGTCCTGCCCCATTCCTCCCACACTGTCCCTGACAGGGCCAGATCTGAAAAATGAGCACATAAAGGAATCCTCATGTCAGCAGATCTGCTGGGGCTCCAGGCTCTGATGTCCTGCTGCAGTTTCTTTGTGCCATAGTCAGGTCACAGACCTAGGTCAGGACCCTGAAGGTTAGGGTCTCAGCCAATACTGAGCCCTACTGGAAGTGAGGTTATGGCCAGCTCCATGCCAGGCTGACTTTGGAAGCTGCAACAAGTTCAGCTCTCCGGCCTCTGTACATCAGGGTTGGTGTGAGAAGGTGGTGTAGAAATGTCACCTATGTCCCCCTGATTGATAGGCCTTTCTTGCCAGGACAAGGCTTTCTAATCGAGTCCATGGGCTCTATCTGCCTCTTGAGTATTGCTGAGATCACCATTGTTTAGGCCAGTGATACCTGCAATGATAGGGGACAGCTGCTCTCCTCTACCCACCCTGACATCAGTATACCACATACACCGCCTCTCTTGTCTCCTGTGCTACTCTGCTCTTCTCAGGCCTACGGTTTCATCTTGTCACTCAGAGTCCCTATGACCCGACTTCTTGCCACTCCATGCCTCCGTATCATTTTTCCTGAGTTTTGATTTGGTAATAGCCCACTCCAAGGGCCAGGCACAGTGGTGCACACCTTTAATACCAGTATATGGGAGGCAGAGGCAGGAGGATCTCTTTGAGTTCAAGCCAGTTTGATCTACATAGTGAGGTCCGGGACATCTGGAGCTAAACAATAAGATCTTGTCTTGAAAAAAAAAACAAAAACAAAAACAAAAAACCCACAAGGGCTAAGAGCTGGGCAATGGCTTCTTCTTCAGTAATGTTTCCCAAGAATAAAGTATATGCTGACCCAGCCCCTGAAGGGTTCCCCTAAGATACCAAACAGCTAACTGGACACCTCAGTCACTTCAACAGGTGGCTCTTAGCTACTGCGTGCCAATTGATCAAGCCTTCAGAAATACTCTAGAGCACTCCAAGATCAGTGAGCTTTATCGATGTCCAGCCCAGGGTGTCCAGGTGGCTCAGGGTAGACTCATCCGGGGAACAGTAGAGGAGGCCAAGAGGCCCTGGCAGGAACACATTCTGGAGGCCAGGATCTAGGTCACAGAGTTTCTCTGGCTTCACATCTACTGGGAAATTGTTAGAAATTTGAACTCTGAAGCCAGGTGTGGTGGCTTTTGCCTGTAGTACCAGTTTTTAGGAAGTGGAAGCAAGTGGACTGTCATGAGTTTAAGGCCAGCCTGGGCTACACAGTGAGATAAAGACTAGAAAACATGAACTGGAACCCACCCCCCCCCCCCAGCTACTGAACCAAGCGATGGTGGTGATAGCTTTCTGGGTCTGGACAAAGCTCCCTCTCCATGCATTTCAGACACTGTACAAGTTTCAGAGGTACCAGTCTGAAACATTCACCCCCCAGCCCCAGAAGCAGACAGTTCTGCCCTTTGCAGTGGCTACCTCAAACCTTCCCATAGTGACCCAGGAGGAAACAGAAAGCAAAGCAGACAGGAAGCGCCTGGGGCTCTTGCTTCTGTCCCTTGGTGTAATCCCAGGATGGTCTAAGAAAACCCAGCGAAGCCATATGCCCAAAGTGCTACACAAATCAAGATGGGATCCTGGGCGACCAATGGTTAGTGATCTGCAAGAATAAAGAAAAGATGAAATACAGAAAAAGTAGCATGGCAGACGGAACCTAAGTCCATCTGGAGGGAATGGTTCCCAGCAGGGAGGTGGGCAAGTGACAGGTGTTTGCTGTGGAGACAGGAAGACTTTGGGTCTGGGCCTGCAGGTTCCCCCAGCTTGGGCCAAAGTGTGCACAGAGGCAGGGAAGAGCCTTGGGGCAGGGGCTTTGGAGAGTTTGGCCTGTTCAGTAGAACATTTCAAAAAAAACCAAAATGGCTCTCTTGATGCTTATGTACTGGACAACTGCTGTGGACTAGCCGATGTGCAGGAGGAGGGCTTCAGGCATGACTGGCCCTCGGTGGCCCCATCAAGAGCGTGTGTTTAGCTTTAGTTGGACACTAGAGTCTGACTGTCATCAGAGGCTGGCTCCATGGTGTGTTCTCAAGGAAGGGATTTCTCTCTGACCATAGTCTGACACAGTGCAGGGAATGATGGCTCTTGGTCCTTGCAAAATGGACTGGCATCAGTGACAGCAGCACAGAGGTTTGGGGTTTAGGCTTTGGAGTCTGGCCTAATGCCCAGTCTGCTGAGCGAGATACCCTGGGGCATAGTTTCTGTGCTTTGTTCTGTGTTGAGCCTGGAGCTGCCAATCTCTCTCCATTCTGTAGTACTTCCCTGAGCTATACACCATAACAGGTGGTCCAAGGCTTTGGCAGGAAGGAACAGGAACACACATTTTGGCTACTAGTTAACCACCACGTTCTCAGGTGCCAAGCTAACACCAGAGTTTTCATCCATAGTTCACCACAAGAAAAGTGGATGGCAACTGATTCAGATATAGACTAAACCTTAACACCCCCTATTGAGCTGTATGATTGAAATGAGTCTTCCTTCTAAGCCTGTCACTTCATCAAATGGTGGTGTGACAAGGTGATTTTAATATTCTTACAATTCTGCAGGGAGCCCCATGTGGTGGTGTGTGCCTTTGATCCCAGCAATGAGGAGGCAGAGGCAGGTGAATTGCTCTTAAGCTTGAGGCTAGCTTGTCCTATTTAGTGACCCCCTGTCTCAAAAACAACAAAAATGTACATGGAAAGAAGGGACAAGTTCTGATGACCTTGACAGATATTTTAAAGCTTCCTTGTATTCATATACTCAAAACCATGATGTCATTTGTCCATGGTGGCCAGTCTTTTGGGTTCAAGCCGTCTTTGTAGTCGCAGACCCCTTACCCCCCCCCACTCTTGACAGACACTTCTAAAATACCAGGCACTATTACCTCCAACCACGGAAATACCTTTTCTGACCCGGGACTGTTTCTGCCCTTTTGGCCAAAACCTCTAGCTAGTGCCTGTTTCCTCAGAACATTCCTACTCCTGAGGGCTCAAGGAAAGGGGAACAACAGATTTAATTAACTCCCAGTGACTGGCAGCATCGTGTTTTTATCTGGGCTGCATCACCATGGCAGCCTCATGGTGGGGTTGTCGAGGGGGCGGGCAGAACTATTGTTCCTACCCTTGTCTGCTCTGGAACGCAAGCCCAGGAGGATAGGACTGGCATGGGCACCAAGTGACGCATGGCTGAAGGCAGCCAGAGAGTCAGACAGGAGCCATCTGGGAAGATGGGGTGGCCAAGGCCTGGCGCCCTTTCAGCCGGGGTCTTAAGCTGATTGCAGGCACCAAAGCTGAGTGCGTGATGGTGTGCCAAGGGCAGGTAGTTCCTTGGAGCTTCCCACAAGCTCAGGCCAGGGCTTTGCTGCTAGGCCTAGGTTCGAATTAGTGCTGCCATCTGTGCAGTTATCTGCTCTTCCAATTCTCAGCTGTGCGTTAGGAATACTTCATTCCTGGTAGAAGGCATTCAAAAAGGGCCGCGAGGAAGGATGGTAACCCCTCTGTCGCTTGCTGCCCTTGACTAAGCAGTGAGGACTCCCAAATTCTCTCCCGATGCAGAGACGTCCTCAGCCCCCTGCGTTGATAGGAGGTGGGTGGGAAAGACAAATCTCATCTAATTTTCCACCCTCTGCAAATAGGGAAAGGAATTAGTGGAAGCGAGGGGGAGGGCTGGAAGTAAGAGAGGTGCAGCCAAGTGGGGTTTGCGCATGAGTAGGTGGTGAGGGAAGTCAAGTTGGGGCTGGAATCCGGCTGGCAGAGGCGCCTAGAAGGAAGGAAAGAGCGCCTGGCCCACGCCCAACACATCGCCACATCGCGTCGGGAGCAGACAAAGGCAGGGCCGGTGGCATGCAGTGGCAGCCACCCGCCAGTCTCTTACAGGCGTGGCTAATATTTGGAAGCAGTGCAGGGCAGAAGCTGGGCGCCAAGCGGGCTGCTTGTGGATCTCCAATTAGTGGACTTTGCTTTTCCCCACCCAAAGTCACCGCGCCTAGACTACTCAAGTGCCCCAGTGGTCACGGCCTCGGAAAGCCACCTCCAGCTGGGCTCCGCGCGCCCTCTGCTGGCCCATCTTGGGTCGCGTCGGCACGCGGTGGCCAGGTCTCGATTCGGGGAAGCCCTATC